TGTTTTTTTTGGCACATTTGCATTTCACTCCCCACTTATTATTATTATTAAGAATGTTGAGGATGATAAAGGAACTCATGCGGGAGGATGGTGGGAAAAAACGATACGTCGGAACCCGTTCCTATCTGAGCTTCAACCAGTGTCGAAACCAACCCAATCCATCATCAACATTGCCAACAGTGGGATGATGCAGATACTGTGGACTAAACATGAAGGTAACCAACTACTGCTACCCACAGAGACATTCTTTTTTAATGAATGGGCGGATCTGATTTGGACCTATGAAAAAAAGAGGAGTGATTTTGACAGAGTCCTCGGGTCGTACGTCTGGAAGGCAGGAAACAGGAAAAGGTCCTTAGACATTGAGCTTGCTAGTTACCCCATGAGGGTAGCTAAGATCCAATCAGCCTTCAAGGATATCTGGAAGGAACCTACTCCTCCAGCCCTGCCAAATGACTCTCCTCCTACCAGCCTCATAGATAACTTCGGCGAGCAGGATGAGAATCTCGAGCTTGAGATGCTCATCAACGCCCCGTTACCACTGGAGTAGAGAAAGAGATTTTCTGTCGGAACCAGCACCTACAGGAACTTCATCCCAATTGCATCCTCACACTGGGTTGAACAAATGGCCAGGGTCAACAACTCACGCATCTGGCATTGGATTCTTTCAACCATCTAACCCCCATTGGTCCCATCAGATACAGATTTTTGTGTGACCTCTCGGATGTCGAGATCAAGGAATGTAGAGAGGATGCATTTCGGGGAATCTTACACCATCAGGGAATAGGGGAATCTGCCTTCAACGAAGAGGAGGCACTCCTCCCCTCTATGAATCAATTTGACCCCATTAGATGCTCTCTCCCTGCCCCCAACGTGTTCTAGCCCCTCTGAGATCACATGTGAGCACCAAATTCTTAGAAAGATCTGGAATGCAGGCCGCCCTTACCTCAAGTGTGGATGTGGACAGGGGGCGTAACAAGTCCGGCAACAAGGCCTGTGACATTGGCCCACTATGGGTTGACCACACCATCTGGTTCCTGCTCACACACCAGGAAATGGTCAGGCCAGATGATCGCTCTAACAAGGTACGCATTGGGTGCCTCTTGCACCTCCTCAGAGGTAAATGGAAACCGCTCACCCAGTTGTGCCTCACCTTTGTGGTCCTCAGAGGTAAATGGAAACCGCTCATCAAGTTGTGCCTCACCTTTGTGGTGATGAGGGACATCATGATAGCCATTGTGCTTGCAGTCAAAAAAGATCCCACCATCACTGCAGGACCCGTGTTTGGAAAGCTCCCGTTTGCAAAGAAGCCCTTTGCACTATGCATGGTCAGTACACAGCTTCCCTCCTGAGCAACGTACCTACCACAGGCTCCTGAAGTCCCCAAGAGGAAGAAAAAGTCGCTGAACAGACGTCAGAAAATGGCAATTGAGCTGTCTCCTACACAGAAGCTCCTCTCTGAGGCCTTCTTCCCGCTGAAGAAAAATAGCTACTTTGCAGCAAAAGCCAGGACCAGCGACACTACGTCATCATGTGTGAGTGGACCAGTCACAGCCGAGCAAAACAAACAGCAACCTCGAGCTGATGTGGCGGCTGCTGACCCTACGCAGAACGACACCCTGGTGGACATGGTGATTGATAATTGATCTCTTGACCTAATCATTTATGCATGCGTTGTGCTTTCAGTGATTGCTTAAAAGGCTAAAGCTTCTTGGTTTCATGACTTACGACAAGCAAAGTAAGGATTGGCATCTGTAATAATGGCTCCATATGCCATTGTCACAGTAGTCCACAGGAGGGCCCTGTTCCGGACAAGAACGACACATACGGGAATGGAGGTACGATTAGCAGACAGACAACTATGGGCCAGGCAATATGACCCCGTCCACACTGCCTCCTCCCTCACCCCTTTGATACTTGACCTGATAGCCAGCCACGGTCATGACGTTGTTAGAATTTCCAGCTCACAACTGGATATCTTGATAAACGACAGACTCGTGGGGGAACTGTCTGTGTGTGCAGGGCAAACCGGTAACGTAATCCTGTGCGCTTGGGGGTAGTATACCCTTCTGCCCGATGAGAAACTAAACACCATTATCGAACTCATGGTCGATATGGCTGTTGATGTTGCAAAAAGTGTGTGAATCGGAGCCCTCTCGAGGGTAACCTGGTGATTCCGATTCGGTTCTAACTTTGGGGCTAATAGAGACTATGCAGGGGGACATCACTGCAATGGTATTGGATGATGAGTAGAATGGGCAGCTCATCAGCACACCAGATTGACCAGTCGCAGGAAGATACCTAGGGTCATGGCATATATTGTAAACAACAACCTTTGTTTTTTTTTTTGGAGTTAATTTAAACTTAACAAAAGATGGACTAGTGGATTAGTAGTTTTTCTTTTCTTTTCTTTTCTCCTTCTTTTACAAGTGGGTTTTTTGTATATTGCTTCGAGCAACACTTCTCTGTCTCTGATGGTCATACATCACCGCCCCTACCGATGTGCTTACCCCTTGCCTCCAGGAGTCACCCGATCGTGAGATACCACCATTTGGCGAGGTGGTATGTGGCCCATCGGGAAGGCGGGTATGGAAGAAGACCCATACTGGAACATTGGCCAAGCGCTACATCCATGTAATTACACGAGCAGAATCCTTGAGGTTGTCAACATCAGGAAATTGTTCATTTCGGTTCTGGCGGCATTGGTAGGATTGACATCAGGAGGTTGGCTTGGGAACGTTGTGTTTGGATGGAGGTACGATGGCCCACTCTCCCGGTTCTTCGACAGATCAGCTGGCACTTTCAAGAGTTTTGATGGTAATGCCTGGGAGGATTCCCCCCATCACTATGTCTGCAACATGGAGAGATTCAGGAACTCCATCGAGCCTTCTACAGAGGTCCTACTCGAGGAAGCATGTGGTCACTAGTGATTACTCTATCACTACACATGGTACCATCAGACACCTATTGGGGTGCGGCCTTAACCATATTCCGATGCGGAACCTCGACCTTCCAGCAACACTACATGAGATAGAATTAGCATGACGTGAGACAACTAGAATCGTGCGTGAGATAGCAGCTCTTGCACCTACACTTAAAGATAGATAGGCAAGATCAGTTAAGCACAGAGCTACTCAACTACTGAGAGGATATGTCAGGAAACACTCTAGCTGCACTAGTGTAGATATGAGAGCACGACACGTGGAGCACAAGGCCGGGTTTCTGACTTGGCACTTCTTGGGACCGCTCATCAGGGTCAAACAGATGGTAGGAAGAAGAAACTTCCCCAAGATTGGAGGAAGAAGGGCAATCTTAATTTCGTCGACCGTGATGGTTAGGCAACTGAGATTGATGACTTCCTTGACTATGGGGAGGACACAAAGCAGGATGGGGCTAGCGAGACTTCGGATGGGGGAGTCGTAGCTCCAATCAAAGAGAAGGCTAGGGGGACCGGGAAGCAAAAGGTAGGGCGGTCCAAAGGTCAGGGCGACCAAGGAACACCTGCATGGGTAAAACTTGGTTTAGACTACGAGGTATGGAGGGACTGAGTTGCTAGGGGTACCTGTCTGAACTGTGGCAACTATGGCCACATGTGCAGAACATGCAGAGGCAAAAAGGTCACAACAAAGGTAGCCTCTCCAATGGTGGTGGGCTTATCTTCGAACCCTGGTGGTGCTTCTGCGAGCACTTCGCAGGGAAACACCTCAGGCCAGTAGGAGTGTTAGCCGCTCTTACTCGTGCTGAAGTGGTAACATTGCCTTCACCACTTCCGACGTAGGCCAAGGGTATTGACCCATTTATCCCCCCGAAGACACATTCAGACCCACTAATGCTTTGTTCAAGAGATGTGTCTGAGTCCTTAGAAGAGTTACAAACTGAGTGGTCAGGGAAGGACCCCAGAGACTCTTGGATGATGATCAGCAAAGGTCATAGCCTAAGGGGTGAACATTTCGTGGTAGACGTTGATGTAGGTGCCCGCAAAGTGGGCGCCTTCGTAGACATAGGCTATACACGGAACTTCATCAGTCGTGCTTGTGTGGACAGACTGCGCTTAGGGGACCAAGTGCAACGGTTGAGCAGATTTGTAACATCTACGCTAGCCAACACACATAGTATGATTGTCCAAGACTATGTTAAGGACGTAGTCTGCACCTTCTCCTATGGAGGAGGGGAACTCAGGCACAAGATCTTACTTCTTATCAGCGACGAAATTCCATTCCATATGCTACTAGACATGTACTACCTCGAGCTTGCTCAACCTCAATTCGATTCGGATAGGAAGGTGATCATTCACAAGTTGCCTAATGGAAGAACCGTTACATTGAAGAAGTTTAAAGTTAACAATCTAGTGGAGAACTATAACTGCATGTGTGCATCTTCTTTCTGTAACTATTATAAGCAGAATCACAAGGAGGGTATGTACCTAGTCTTTGTCTCTGAGAAAGGGGAGGCCGTAAAATCATCCTCGTAGATAGAAGTAGTCGTTGTTCAATACCCAGACCTTTTTGAGGAGCCAGTGGTGTGGTAGAGAGGGAGGTTGTCCATGCAATAGAATTCGTCCCCGATAGCAAAGTACCCAGAAGGCTGATCTATGGGATGTCTCCTGCGGAGTTGGATGAGTTCCGCCGCCAGCTCAAAGAGCTCACAAAGAAGGAATGGATTCGGATTAGTACCTCCCCTTATGGTGCACCAGTCCTATTCGCTCCTTTGAAGGGAGGTACCCAAGGATATGCATTGATTATAGGGGCCTCAATGCCATCACCGTTAAGAACGAGGAGCCCCTACCCCGCATAGACGCCCACCTGGATAGAGTGCAGGGATGCTGATACTTTATAAAGATAGATTAAAAGTCCGGATACCATCAAATTGCTATTAGACCTAAGGATCAACACAAAACCGTCTTTCATACCAGGTATGGTCTGTACGAGTTTGTGGTGATGCCCTTTGGTCTACGCAATGCTCTTAGAACATTCCAACACGCGATGAACAAGATTTCCATGACTACTTAGACAAGTTTATCGTCATATACCTCGATGATATCCTTTACCTTTAGTAGGATTGTAGAGGAGTACGCTGAGCATCTAAATATAATGTTCGGTCTCATATGACAGCACCTGGACAAAGTTAACTTGGAAAAATGCGAGTTTGGGCGCACCAAGATTTTGTATCTGGGCCATGAAATTTCAGCAGATGGATTGAGGCTGGATGATGCCAAAGTGACCAACAGAGGTGACTGACCCAGACCTCAGACTGTTACACGCTATGAAGTCCGCAAACTTCCGGATCTTGAGAAATGTTACGATCCTGGCCAATTTTGAAGTCCACAATCATCAGAAAGTACAACGTTGTCCAATTGCGAAAAGAAATGAATGAACTTGAGCCCAATGCCGTCCAATTGCAAAAGAAATGAAAGAACTTGAGAGGAGAGAGAGGGAAAGAAGAAGAAGAAGAATTAAGAAAAAAAAAAAAGACGATGTACTCCAGCATAGACCTTCTTCGCTCAACAACCTCCTCCTCTTTATCTCCTCCTCTCTTATTCAAACAATAAATAAACAATAATATTGTTGAACAGTTGAACCAGAATCACTGTCCGAATCCCACTTCTACTGCAGGCACAAGATGAGGTCCACCATAGCCATGGCAGCCCTTCTTCTTCCTCCACATACAGGCCGAGGCTATGGCGGACTACTGAGGTTTCAACCTCCGATACAAAGGACAACCCCGAGCAGCTACACCGCTGCCCTTCTTCAAGGTCATCACCCAACAGCTATGCCGCTGCCCACTCAACCGCCATGCCTGACTCTGTCCGAGCTTCCTTGATGCGGCACTACCCCCACTGGGGCCTTCCTGATGCAGCGCCTAGCAAGGAGATGAAGATGGTGTCTACCATAGCCAGGTAAGTACCCTACCACTCTCCTCCTTGGTCCCCTTCTCCCTCCTCCTCCTACCGGCTGAGCTCCACCATAGCCAAGGTGGAAGCTCCCGGCTTCTTCCTCCCAGCAGCGCTGTAGAGCCCAGCGCTCCTCCACCTAGCGCTCCAGCAGTGTGACGCCCAACTCGCACACAGAAGAATGAGGCCGGGCTCTTTGCCCTGCCTCTTGATATAGCAGCCTACTTGCCTCCTGGGCGGTGACTTCCAGGCCGCTCGGCCTCTCCAAGCAACCGGTACCTCCTCCGTTTCAGAGGGAAACATCATTGCAGACCCTGATCTTACCCGTACAGGCTCTAGACTCAGACTGGTTGGACTGGTACCGGCCTAGACCTACCCTACCGCTACTGGACTCTAAAAAATGTCAACTTTGTCCTTTTCTGCTCGGCCTCCAGTACCCCCTCACGCCAACTGCAGTGGGGTGTAGTATCGGCCTATCGGCCTACTTGAGTGTTTTTCTGCTACCCCAAGGGCCTCAGGGCCGCTAGCTTCGCCACTTGAGTGTTTTCCCTGCTACAACCCTCAATGCCACAGCCGCAGGTAAGTACCGGCCCTACGGGCCTACCAAACAAGCAAGTACCCTTGCGGGTCCCACACACACTCATACCAACAAGCACTCAGACAGGCATGCAGGTCACAAGCACGCACACACAGAAACACAGCAGAATGCGGGAATCTCAGCAAGGCATCCATTCCATCGGCAGAACTTCAGAAATCAGCAGTGTTCTCAGTCTGTGTTTTGACGGGTCATTACACTACCCCCCCCTCAAGAGCGAGGTCCCTTCGAGCGAGTAACTCATTCAGAGTCCTTGGACAATGCATCATAGGCGTAGATAGCGAAGAGAGATCGGGCGAATTCCGTAGGAGTCAGGGTAGCAGTGAATTTTGGTTGTTGTTCAGAACTTATCAATCGTTCGTAGGAGTTCACAACACGCGGTGCACTCTGTAGTAAGTCTTTCTTAGCAATCCAGTAGAAATCGTCCAACGGATGGTACAGAAAATGGACTTTGTACTGTCTGTTTCTTCCTTTCCCACTGTGTTCGACAATCCTATCAACCTCATGACCGCCATTGATTGCGCGGGGAATCATTGATTCTCGATACTTGAAAGTTTCAGGTGATTCATACGGAAACAACTTTGATGCGTGGAAGACTGGGTCTGTGCGCAGGTGCGCAGGCACATCAATTGTGTAAGAAGGACCGAAAGAATCACTCCCTACCTGGTTCAAGACCTTCCATGGACCGTAGTACTGAGGGAGAAGTTTTCTTGACACACCCTCCTCTTCGGAAAACTCAGACATCTTGACCCAGACATAACTTCCCACTGTGAAAGGCGCAGGCTGGCGCTTCTTGTTTGCGTGTTTGATCATGGCACTGCGTCGCCTTTCCATATCTGCGACAGCAACCTTGAGCAACCGATCGTACTTAGCGCTGTAGCCTGGTTGGCCAGGTGTTAGAACAGGAGGCTGTTCAGGGAACAGGTAGGATAGAGGATTGCGAATTTTCCATCCAAGATGCAGCCGGTTAGGCGTCATACCGGTGGAGGAGTGGATGGAGTTGTTGTACAACCCTTGCACGATCGGCAATTCCTCATCCCAAGAGTTCTGATCAGGCACAATTAAGGCTCGGAGAAGTTGGATCACCGTCTGGTTGATCTCCTCGGCCAGTCCATTGGCTTCGGGATGTCGACCAGATGTCATCTTGAGTTTCATGTCATAGACCTGGGAGGTGAAGTCCTTCCATTCTGCGCTTATGAACCTAGTGTCCCGGTCACTCACAAGAGTTTTCGGGGGCCCGCACTGCAGAATGTATCTTTTGTGAAATTATTTGATCACAAGGTCAGTTGGGGCATGAGGTGGTAGTGGGATCAGATTCAAAAACTTCGAAAAACGATCGACAATCACCATAACTTGGGAATAACCGTTTGTGCTCTTCTTCCCCATGTCCGTGAAATCAATAGAAACAAACTCCCCCGGACCGTCAGGGATAGGAAAAGGGTGCAGCAGCCTATAAGGTTTCTGCCGAAATGGTTTAATGCGTTGACAAACTTCACACTCAGCCACAAACCTTTGCGCCATTCTTTTCATACCAGGCCACACAAACTTTTCTAACAGATTCCCGTATGTCTTCTCAACACCGAAATGTCCACTCCGGCCATGAGCCAAATCCAAGAAGTGAGTGATGATTGGCCCATGGTTGGGTATACACAACCGGTCATGCTTACCGTAGCATCGGAAGAGAAGGCCCTTACATTCATGGAAATCAGGCTGACTACTAGGGTCAGCCCGAATCTGCTCAAGGATGGGACTGAGTTCCGGATCCTTGGCAGTGTGCTCAATGAGTTCCTCTTTCAGATTCTTACGAAGGTCGTAGGAACCCACAAGGCAAGTCATATATTCGGGGTGGCGAGACAAAGCATCCGCAACACGATTATAGCARCCTTTCTTGTGTTTGAGTTCAAAATCATACACATCAATCTCATGCAGCCATCGGGTYAATGTGGTTGATGGGTTAAYCTGTGTCTGAATCCATTTCAAAGTCTCATGGTCTGAGAACACTTTGAAATGGCGACCCAAGAGGTAGTGTTTCCARTGGTCTAGTGCCTCTCTCAAGGCATAGAGCTCTCTCATGTAAGTGGAGGCAGCTACCTTGTGGCTGGGCATGCGTTTGCTGTAGTATTCCAGCGGACGTAAACCATCACCATCATCTTGCTGCAGTACTGCACCAATCCCATACAAACTTGCATCCGTAGTTACTACGAATGTAAGCTTGGGATCTGCAATGCGGAGCACCGGATAACTCACCAAAGCCTCCTTTAGTGCTTCGAAGGCTGTCGTGCACTCCTCATTCCATGTGTAGGACACATTCTTGCTGGTTAGTCCAGACAACGGACGGGCAATGATAGAAAACTTAGGCACAAACTTACGGTAGTACGACGCAAGACCAAGAAAAGAACGCAACTCGCGGACATTCGCAGGTTGGGGCCACCTTTGGATGACCTCAACCTTGGTTGCCTCGGGCTCTAGGCCTGCAGCAGACAATCGATGTCCAAGGTAGATGACGCTGTCCCTCCCAAACTCAGATTTCTCCAAGTTGAGATGGAGTTGCGCGTCCTTGAGGATCTGCATCACTTCCTCAAGGTGTCTCATGTGCTCTTCCATCGATTTGCTGAAGATTAGTATATCATACAGATAAACAACAACAAACCGGTTAATCTGGTGGCGGAACACTTTGTCCATGAGACTTTGAAAGGTGGCTGGCGCATTCGTGAGACCGAAGGGCATGGCAGTGAACTCGTACAGCCCATCGCGAGTTTTGAATGCGGTTTTGTGCTGGTCCGCAGGATCGACTTCGATCTGGTGGTAGCCAGACTTGAGATCGATCTTGCTGAACACTTTGCACCCACCTGCAACATCAAGCAAATCATCGATACGCGGCAAAGGATATGCATTCTTTCTCGTGATCCGATTCAACCCGCGGTAGTCAATACACATCCACAACTTACCTCCTTTCTTAGGGACAAACAACACCAGTGCACCAAACTCCGACTCACTCGGCTTAATCCATCCCTTCCCAATCATTTCATCAATCTGCCTTCGCAACTCCTCCAATTCGCCTGAGCCCATTCGATAGACACAACCCTTAGGAGGAGTGCTACCTTCAATCAACTCGATCCTGTGTCGGACCGGACGCACAGGGACTCCATGCGGTTCGGCCAAGACGTCAGGAAATCGGTTGAGAAGGTTGCGAATGTCCGGTGGGATTTCCGGAGGGGGATCATCACTCTCAAGAGCAAGCATGTCAGTTTGTATAGGTGCAGCCAAAACAACAGGATTAGAAGTAGAGTCATTTGGACTAGAGGTGGACCTAGTAGAGGTAGAAGTAGTTGCATCTGAGGTGGACACAGCATGCAAAGCAGAATCACTATGTACAGCAAAAATAGAAGGCACATGAGCAGGCCTAACAAAGGCTATATAAATTTGCTCATCAGTTTTGCGCCTGCGCCACTTTTTGCAGAATTGCATTGCATTAAGAAAGGTCACTTGGGACTCGCGCGGCTCATCCAAGAGGACGGGACGCTCGATCCCCATGGCATCTTTGACCATGAATTGTGAGTCCTTCCACGTGGTTCTTTCACATTGGGCCTGCAACCAGCCCAAGCCAATAACCGCGTCGAAGGGGCACTGATCAAGGACATAGAAGTTCAATTCATGCGTGATTGTGCGATCAACGTCAAAGGTAGTGTGCACACCTTTGACTGCATGCGTGGGAGTGACAACCTCTTGGTTGCCTACTTGGGTCCGACAAGGATTCTGCAAAGTCACTTGCTTCATCCCCAAGCGTGCCTTACGAATGTCGTGCGGTGAGAAGTAGTTGGCGATTGCACCACAATCAGCCAACGCACGGATGTAACGACCATTAATGTAGAGTTTGAAGAAGATCAACTTCGTCCTCCCTTGCGCGCGTTCTTGCTTCATGTGAGCCCAGCGCGTCAACAGAGCATGAAAGTCAATCTCTT